CTTACCTTCTGTTCAGTCTCTTCTTCTTCTTTTTCCCTCTGGTATTCTTCAAAAGCCTCAGCATCATCCACAAACAAGCTTGCATCCGACAGAAACAGCTCCCGACCACTGAGATTACATATCCACATAATGAATCAGCTTACGAGGACAGAAACAGAGTCACATTTGAGATTAATAGCAACAGAATGATGATGAATGGGATGATTACCTCATCCGGTCGTTCTTAGCCAAACCTGCATCTCTCTCAGCTATTCTCTTCCTCTTCCACTCCATAAATAGCGCAGGAGTCATTTGTGTCGCAGTTTTCAGTTTTGCACGCTTAAACACAGACAAGAAAAACAAATTTTCAAGCTCAGGAAGTATATTGGGAAAACGGGATGATTCTTATAAAAACCTCGTTTTCGATTTCTTCCTCAACTGGCATCTTCTTTGATTCCTCTTCCAAGAGCGCTTTCATCTGAGATTTAAGGATGTATCCCGGCGGAAGTGCGTGTCTGTAATGACACTCTTTAGCACCATTGGGGCAAGCCCATAACCAACCATACTGTTTCTTTTCCACCGCATCCAGAAAATACTTGCAAACCTGTAACATATCAAAAACCAATTAGCTAGCTGCAATCTCTTGTAACAAGCTCACTGAACTCATGCAAGACAAAGATTTCTTACAATATCTGTTGGCTTATTCTGATTACTATATTGATTTTTCTTCGATTCCACAACCTTTTCAAGTGTCTCTTGATCCCAGTCCTCCATGCCTCCATCTAAAAGCATAACAGCATTGTTCAAGAGACCGAAATGATTGAAATATAAGGCACTTTAATTTGCGGTTTTACCAACCTTCATCACGCTGATCGCTGTAAATATCAATTTTCTGGCCCTTCCTTTGAATGTTCAAATCATGAGAGAATTTGCACTTGAAACCCTTTTCACATTGCCCTGCCTTGAAAAACTCACGCAGTATAGACTTTGGACCCACACCTGCCAAGTAACATCACCAAAAAACCATATTCTATCAAACACATCGATACAGAACAGAAGAACAAACACATGTAAGATCAACTTGTAAAAACATACATACCAACAGGAACTTTCGGCTGACTAATTGCTACCTTGAACAACTCATTCAATTCCGGTTCTCTAGCTTTCTCTTCATCTTTCTTTTTCTGTCCTCAACCCAAAAAGAAACATTATTTTTTGCAAGAATTTATCACTCACTCATGAGAATTCAAAACATCTACTTCACTATCAAAACTAACTCAAATCAATGAATCAAGATTTTACCTTTGCTGCAGCTTTAGACGCATCAGATTTAGGTTGAACAGATTGTTTGAGACTCTGAACATACTTTTGAAAGATAGACAAGAAAAACAAATTTTCATGTGAGTCTCATGAATCAAGCTTGGGTTCTGAGTATAATAAATCTCACTCAACTCATGCAAGACAAAGATTTCATCATGTGTTTAGGATATATTTTTTTTTTGAATTAGCTAACTATATTTGCTAAGATACAATCAGCTCATGAAACTATGTTGTTTAAAACCATGCTATGTTGTTCCAAAAACGAGGAGAGAGTAACAAGGAACAACGGGAAGAGAAAGGACGTGTAAGACCCAAATGGCTCCTAAGATGAACCATGCTTTTAGAGTGAGAGAGAGCTCACCTTCTGTTCTGTCTCGACCACTTCTTCTTTTTGGCTCTGGTAATCTTTAAAAGCCTCAGCATCATCCACAGACAAGCTTGTATTGGACAGAAACAGCTCCGGACCACTGAGATTACATATCCACACAATAAATCAGTTTACGAGGTCACATCGGGGAGATGGGATATGCAACAGAATGACGATGAATGGGATTATTACCTCATACGGTCGTTCTTAGCTCTCTCCGCTTGAGATGCAGCCAAACCTGCGTCTCTCTCAGCTATTCTCTCAACAAAAACATGATATAGAATTAGAATGGTCAAGTGATGGTATAGAATTAGATTTGTCAACTAAGATTTCATGTTTGAGAACATTCTGCTTTCAGCCAAAGAATCGAGAAAAGTTGTCAGAGTGTTGTTAGTAACTGATGCAAATAATGAAACAACTAACCGATGAAACCATCCATGTCTAAATCATCTTCCTGTGCATCGACTTCTTTCGAACTCTGTTCAGCATCACCACTACTCTTGCTTGTCCCTGCCTCTATATCTTTGTTCTTGGCCTGCGAACCCTCTGAACCTGGAAATATCGAAAAAAACACCAAAGCATTTATAATAGCACCTCAAAACGTTTTTAGACCAATACCATGAGGCAGCAAACAAAGGAATAAAGAGTGTACCTGACATAGCCGGTTTTTTCCTTTGTGGCTGCTCCTCATCCCTATCCAAGCTTGTGTTCTTTCGTTTCCGCTCCTCTTTTAACATTGCATTCTTTCGCTTTTCTTCTTCCTCCTCTCGAGTTAATAGGATTGGATATACAAAATTGGCAAGTATTGGAGATGGTTTTGAAAACCTCCTGTTAAGGGGAGCAATCTTTTCTCCAACCCTTGGTAAGTGCAAGATAAAAGCATCCAAAGATACTTTTTAGTATCCACTATGCCCCACTTTATCTCCTTCACTTGATCTCACCCATGCAAATCGTTCGCCATTCTCTTCACCTACAGCCGCAATGGACACCGAGTGCGAACTAACTAATCGAGAACTGGGACTCTCAGCTCCACGATACATCTCCTTTGCCCGTTTTCTAAACTCGGGCTGAAAAATTGCCAAAGATGCTCCAATAGGACCTTCTTTTAGTGCACCAAACATTTGGTCAATCGAAAGAGCTGTTTTGTGGCGTTTGGTAAATGTGAGGTTAGCCGGGTTACGGTAACTATCTGGTTGATCCGCAGAGCAGCCAATGAAGGGTCGATCTTCTTCTCTTTGTATTCCATTGTCGCGTACATAGTTGAGTCCATTCTTCAAGGAGTTTGGGTAACAGTAATGGTCCTCGCGAGTCGTTCTTCTCATCTGTGGATCCACAAAATCTATCATGTCTTGAGGAGAATATAGAATATTCTCGTCGGTCTCACGTTGACAGATTAGTCTGATGGCTCGGATGAGCTCACTGATGACGATGGACCAGCACACCACTTCCATTCGAAACACACACATCATAAAGAAAATCAGAGATGAGTTAATCATATCGTTTCATTCCATTAAATTCAAAGCAAAAATCCTATAAATAATACCATGGTCCGTTTGATTTCTCAATGCTCCCATGATTGTTTTCCAATCCACATTGCTCAAGAAAGATGGGATATTCATCTTAATTTTGCTCCTAAGAGAAGCGTATGAAGTAGGTTCCAGAACCCCATCCACATAAACCTTACAACCATGGAGAATCGAAATTTGCGAGGAGGATTTTGCATCAATCAACGTTTGTAAGATATCGCTAGACAGATTTGTGAGAACAGCCATCACTTCTTCTTGGTGTCCTTGGTTAGTTAAATAGTGAAGTTTCTGCAAAAAACAAAGACATTGTTAAATCACGAAACTGGCAACTATCAACAAAGAAAGACGTAACACCAATCACCCTGATAAGCTCCTTCGTTAATTGCCCCTCTCTTTCCGATTGTGAAGGGCCACCTGTTGCCTCTCCTGGTTTTTCCTTCTCAGCCATTGAAACCCTAAACCCTAAACTCGGAGAGTGCACTCAAATCTCCCTCTGCAATCTCCCGCTACAGCTACTGTGTGTTTCGTGTGTTTCTTCAAAGGGGGCAAAGATAATGTCTTGAGGTCTTCTTAATGGGCTGAGTATGGCCCAATTAATTTTCCATAACAAACAAAAACGTGAATTTACATTTATGTTTCGCCATTTTAATTAGATTTGTTTTTTTTTTATTTGCTTGGTTCGATGATTAAGGGTAGAATTATTATCCGAGATCCGATATATTATCCGTTTGGAATCGTTTCAAAAATTAGGATATCTAGAGAACCCGAATACGGATAAAGATAGTAAAATTAAGGATCCGTGAAAAGAAGATCCGGATCCGGATAGCAAAATTTTAAAGGTCCGGATATCCGGATCCGAATCCGAATGCATTAAATATATTAAAAACATATATATTAAACTATTTTTATATAAATAAATACATATAAAATTTGATTTTAGTTATTTTTATAATAAAATATATTTATAATGAAAAATCCCATTTAAAAT